AACCGGGCTACACAAATGAAAACAAATTTTAGGGCTAAAGTACCACAAAGGTGCTGGATTTTATATTTTCTTAGAATTTGAACAACACAATTCCAATTCAAATGATTCACTTTGGTACAACGGGTTTTACAAACAAAAAGAATAACAAGAATATGAGAATAGATCCTAAAGATAACTTGTGTTTGAACAGACTAGTACTAACACACGGAAGCAATCACTTAAACTGGCAATTAATTAAGACCAGAACAATCTATCTAGTGGAGAGACGTACAGGGAATAGAATTTATAATAATATTGAACAAAGTGAAGTTATAAAACAATAACGTTTAGTTTTATGCTAATTTTTTTCAAGATCACATAAAAAATCCACTGTTCTCGGCACAAAACTGAAAAAATTTGACATACATTTTTTTCATGAGAAACAAGCGATACCATTTCAATTTAGTTAAGTGTTTCTAGATTTTTTCAATTTCGATATTTTTTCGGAAAGTATATTTAAAAATTGTGTGTCGGTGACTATGTTTAAAAGATCGCTTTAAAAGACATGTTAAAGATCGCCCATGAATTTGTTTCATAATTTTTGGCAAGGTTGGTTGTAAGTCTTTAGACTCTGCAGCCTTAATTCGAACAGCTTTTATCACACCAAGTGTATTAACAAACTTTGATCGTTCGAATGGAACAGGGTTTCAGGTAGTAACAGCATTCTGTGCATACAGATCGATACAAATTGATGTTGATTTTGTTGCAGTTGATGGTAATATAACGTAACAAGTCAACCGCAAAAAGATGCAGTTATTTGAACGCCAGACTTACGACCAATTTTTGAAATGTGCCCACTCTACGGAGTGCCGATGACACCTTGTTTATAAATGGCGCTTATTTCAGCTTGAAAAGGTGCATAAATAAAATATCTACATTTATATTCATCTCTGAAAAAAGTCAAAGACTTTTATTATTCAAATGGAGACATTTTAAGTTTGAAATCGCATCTGAAATATTATGAGGTGAGATTTAGAGACATTCCGAAGTTTTCCTGGCGGCGTGTTTGCAGTACGGATTTGCAGTGGAAGTGCCTGAACGTTTCAGCATTTCACCTGAAATGAGCTTTATGACGCCCTCGACACCTTCCCGACAACTTCAGATGTAGGCCGACCATCACAACGCGTTTAATGCCGACGTCAGATTTCGAGCTTTATCATGCTATTTTATTTCTTTATTTGAATTTTTAAATTGCTTTTTTCTGCTCGGGGATGTTGTACGTGGAAGTCGGGCCGTCGAGGCTCATGTTATTTTCTCCCTTTTTTTAATTTCGGCGTTCAATATTTTTAACGCACACGTAATAGGGCCGTTAATTTTTTTTTCTACCTTTATAAAATAAAAAGTACTCGCTCTTGCAAAAAACATTCAATTAAAAAAGGGGAAATTAATTGCGCAGTCGGGACACAAAAGCAGAATGGAAGGAAAATAACCGTTATAGTAAATTTTCGACTTTGAATAGTCGCATAGTGCTAATTGGAAGTTGTGGCGGTTTTATTTCAGTGCGTCGGAGCTGGAGGTTGAAAGGGGAGACGATTTCGGGTTTTGTTATTTCGGGGGCAGATTTATTTTCTAAAGCTGTTTGTGACAGAGTCAATTCAATTTTTTCTATTTAACTTAGAAATTGTGGCATACTTTGCTGGAGATTATTTTATTTTATTATGTTATTTATAATCATAAAAAAATAATCCGATTTGTTAGGGGAAGCAGAGGGATTTACACAAACATCGTGTATAGCGGAAACTAGGCAAAATGAAATTTTAAATTAATAAGCTGTTTTATGGTTAGACGCCACACTCTAATGTGTGTATCCTACGAGAACGAACGATATAAACGAAAGAGATATCACATCGATAAAAAATTATAAACATTATTTTCGTTCATGCACTTGTATAACGTACATTCGAATATATTAATTTTACATACACTAACTATAGCTGTACATTCTTTTTAACACTGAATGACGTGGAATAGAATATATTCAGAGGTTTCCCAGTTGAATTATTGAAAAAGTTTGTTAGAGTTTAAGAGAAACTTTTTTAATTTAATTTTTTAAGTGGGGCACCCTATATGTTTTTACATGTGCGTAATTTTCCACCGTCAAAGTGTTGGGACAACCTATGTATGCTGGACATTATATTAATTTTATCATTTACATAATTTAAAAATACAGTGAAAACAATAAAAAAAGTGTTTGTTTTTATAGAGCTTATTAAAACTTTGTCGAACCGTCGTGTCATGAGTGGCATTACTTTATTGTGGTCCGGGAATTAGTGTGCGACGTCTTGGGCGGCCCTGGTTAGTAACGTTCTGGTTTAAACTGCACTAAATTAACATCTAGACATGTCAATCTATTATAATCGCTTGTCAACGAGCAATGAGCACCTAATTTAAGATGATTACCATCTATTAATTCCAATCTAGATGACACGAAACTATGTTTTAATATTAGGATGATTTGATTGTAGCTAACGATTAATATACTGGGTGACATATATTTCGTTTTACACTAATATTTGGTCTTTTATTGGAGATATTTATTCATGACAGCAGTAGTAAAAACCCAACAATGTTTTATTAATGTACTCGTAGTTCATGTTTGATTTTGAAAAGCACAAAAACTTTTTCCGCAAAGAAGTAAGGTTACTTTTCTAAATATTATTATTTATTATGTTGTCCTAGCTGAACTTGCTTTTAAATTTAGTTTTTAGCGGATTTTGATATGTTAAATTATATTAACAAAAAAAAAAAAAACTTTATGGGTGTTAGGTCCATTAACCGTGAACTTTTCCCCGTAGCACGCGAGGAGGTAAAACACCTCGGTTTTGTTTTACATTTTTTTGCACAGTACTGTAATTATTTATTGATAACGTGTAATTATCTGAAATCAATTTTCTGTTCAGATGAAGAACAACTTTATTTTGTTGCATGAAACAAACAATGATATTTCAACAAAATTGTTCTTGATTTCGACTCGTTTTTGTTCTATGGTATTATCGGAGGGGTAATTTTACGGCAGAATTAGGCTAATGAGTAATAATAGCGATGGGCACTTTACAACTCATGCTATATGATTGATAGAAAGCTAGAGAATTATTCCCACTTGAACGTTCATTCAATAGGAGTCATTTTTGAAATTGTGCCATTCGAAGATGGTATCTACTGCTTTATTATATTTATCTTAGCATCAATTCATGCAAACTAATTTTTGTTGAACGTTTATTATTCTACATGAACTTTCGTGAGTATCAATTTTTACGTATCGTGTACTTGCGTAATCGTATGTGTTTCAAGCATTTCTGAAATGTGAGTAAAAACGAAAATAATTATCTTGAATTAAATTTTATTGCCAAAATAAGAGCGAGACGTAGCGAAAGTTAAACTACTTTTACATAATCTAGTAAAGCTGTCGTGTTTCTAACGAAAGCAGATTGCCTGTCGTCTTTATAATGCTATATATCTTGCTTCAGCATCGTACGTTAAGTGATTCGATGTTTGGATGTATGCGACTTTCATCTCTTACCAATTTAAAGCAGCTTTTAATTTATTGTTAGTGTGGAAATGTTGACCTCGACGAACGACCATGTACTTGGTTTACATACAAACATTGATATTTTATAATATTGTAAGTTTATGTTTTATGGCACGCACCACTGATCTAAGTAGGCGCATAAATTAAAACTAATCTCGATCAGATAAGGAAAAATTTTACAAAAACGCAAAAGACGTTGGACGTTGTAATTTCTGCACTTTTCCGGGTTTAATGGGTCAGAATTGCAAGAACTAACCGTATCGAGTCGCCGATAAATCAGCTTTCGTCGATAAAGAGCACGTAATGAGCGCAGAGTTAATCTAGAATGAAATTCAAATCTGTTGGGAATATTTTTTCCGCAAGAGGACTTCCATAAATGCAAATGATTTTTATGATTCTATAACCGGAGCTGTCAGAAACATGCACGCTGAATTATCCGGAATAATACCAAGAATGTTATTACAGTGTCTTTAAAGCACCAGTTGAGAGTAAGCCGCCTTTGGAAACGACCTCGGAAACCCTTAGACCACTACAAACAGGCTGCTCTTATAAGGATATTCCGCTCAAAGGACTCATAAAATATTCCGTTTGGCAATCACCATTAATTTTTCCATTTTCCAGAGGGTTCAAAATAGCCACTCCAACTAACCGCGTCTTTTAATATATCGCTTCGTGGGGCAATTTAATTATTCCGAAGATTGCGTCTGTTTTATATGCACTTCAGTTATTTTATTTTTTGATAATTGTTGCGCGCAGAAACGTAGTCAACAAGTTTGCCCAAATAAGTGCTTAGTGAATCTTTGGTTTTGACTAAAGTTGAGTTTACCGTATTATTTCAGCAATAGTTGTGTCATTTTTTGTATGAAGTGGTAAAAATTTGGAGGACGCTGTGTAGCGTACGACATTTCGTTCAAACTCTCATGTTTACATATAATTCTAAAGAAATTTCTTTTTTTTTTTCTGAAATACGAATTTTCTTTGAAGTGCCTACAGTTTGTAACCATGACAGAGTTTAGATTATGTTTTTCACCGTAGTGACAGTTATTTTGAAGAGAGCTATGTGGCAACCTGTGTAGTTATACTAAAATCGCCGAATAGATCCAATTGTCACTGCGTGAACAACGAACCTAGCGTTTCTGTTAGTTCGACAATATGTATCTTTAATCCTCAATAGACTCAATAGAGATTATAGATGTGGGACCTACAAATTGGTAAACATAATTTGCTGTGTTTTTATTCTGTTAGTAAAACATTTTTTAAAGGCACTTTTCCATGATCTTACCAGATGTCGTTTTTAAAATTATGTTGGTAGCTTTCGTATCTTGTGAACCGCTCCACAGTATCGGTTCTTTTAAAATTCCAGTCTCGGCTCGTCGAATCTGTGCCTTTCCTCAATCCAAACCACCACCTAACATTTATCTTTTGCTTTCAGATTCCAAACCCTCAACATCTAACCAAGTGAAGGACCCCAAAACCGACAAGCCAATGCACAACACAAATGCAAAGCTGGTCCGCGCCCTCACCAACAACCTTTCCGACTCGCGGCCGTCCGGGGCCGAGGTGAACCGCGGCAATATAATCCTGGTGAGGGGCGCGAAGACGTCCGACGGCGGCCACATACTCCTGCGTACCGATAGCCTGCCGACGTCGAAGACCAGCTTGGTCCTCGAAGAGGGCGACCACGGAAAGCTGGGCCAGATCTTCATTCAGCAAAGCGACCTCGCCGAGGGCGTTCTGCTGCAGTCGGTCAAGCGTCTGGGGGGCGGGACGCCGATCTTTCTGCTGAGCGGCAACGATAACGGAAATGGACATTTTCTCATACAGACCACGAGCGCGGAGGATGTGCACAGTGTCGCTGATATCGGGGAGGAACAGGGAGGAGATAACATCCTGTTGCAGGCTTTGGAGGGATTGCAAGATAACGAAACGAGCAACAGCAGGGGCATTTCGACACCAATTGGATCAGGTAAGGTTTAGCGGGGATCGCGCTGGCGGTGGCGGTATTCATTTTTGGAAAGATAATGAAAAAGTGCGGGAGGGCGACTGCTGGGGAGGATTGATTTAGACGCGAAAGAGGTTCTTTGGGGAGGGTTCATTAATGTCATTTAAAGAGAGGTTTGACTTTGCAGATTTATTTTAAGGCGCAGTCGTGACGTTGTCAGACTTTTTTGCAATCATGTAATGAAAAGTACTTTCATTTAATGAGTTTAGGTACAAAAAGTGTCACTTTATTGGATTTGAAGAATGTTTTTTTGTGAAACAAGTATATAAAAATGAATCTCGGATATTTTTGTTGTTTAATAAATGTTCACAGTTTTCATAATAACGTTTTCATTACGAATTCTTGTCGTGCCGTCTATTTATGTGTTTTTCGTAATGTCGCATACAAAAAATCGAACTACAAATTCTTTTCAGAATAAAACTACACATTCGTGGCCAGCGATTGCACGTACAGTTCTTGAAACATTTTTACGATTTTAATTACAGGAAAAGTGTAGATATCAATATAATTTGCTTGATACGACCTTTTGCTGGCGTTTTCCGACGTCCGTAGAACTTGCCCGCAAGAATATGTAAATTTCAGCTAAATCGGTAAATATTAAATCAGAAAAAGGATAAAACACTTGCGGTTCGTTTAAAATTATTGTTGTGTAAGATATATGCTCATTTTTTGATGTACTGAATAGTGAACATTTTTATACATCTTTGAAAATAAATTCTTGCTATATATTCATCGAGCAGTTCCACTGATCACGTAAAATTCGCATGAACAGCCTGCGGAAAGTTCTATTAAGTTAATGTCCAGCTGATAAAATGAAAACAGGCACGAAAACTAGTACCCGCATTTAAAATAACAATTCTACGTAAAATAATACAGGAAGTGTGACTTATTTGTTTGTTGTTGCTCGCAACAATAGACTGGCCCCAAATCTATACTGAAAATAAAAAAAGCACGCCAAAAGCACCAATACCAAAATACACACACCTCCACCTAATCACAGCAAAACATGCTGCTGCGAAACATGTAGGTATTTTCTAACCAACAGGAACGGTAGGTTTATTTTTCAAGCGTTGATCACAGTATAAGTTACTTTCTTCATTTCTGTTTATGTCAGGTCAAGATCAAATGTTCCAGGCGTACAATTTATTTAGAAACTTCCAATCGTCACCACACGCAGAAGACAATCCCTAGGTAGCCAGTTCCTCCAAGCAATCTCCATATATTCACATTACATAAAAGGGATAGCTTTATTTACCACTAGTGTTCGTTGAGAAGTATGTCATCTACTTTAAATTTACTTAAACTGTTACATGTACGAATTACTTTCTAGTTGTTAACGTGTGTGTCCGTCGTAGACCGGACTTCAACTATTTATTATTTTAACTTGCGTAATAGTAATAACAATTCCGTACTTTATGTTTTTCTTCCTTACTTAATTTACTTTTCTTAGTTGTCAAATCAGCAATGTAACTTCATTTAATACTATAATGGTCGATGTTAGTAATTTCACATCGTATATGATATCTAAAAATTCATGTTATAATTTAAACATGATTCTGGTTACATGTTTCTTCTGTCAACAGTTTCTTTTTAGATAAACAGATGTGACTGGTCAGTAGTCAATGTACTGTTAACATATTCCACAATAATTTAATCTTTCTTGTTTTTCCTTTTTCTTCGAAGAACAAATTCCGCCTGTCAAAAAAATCAGCATTACATTAGTTAATAGAATATTCACTCGAGAAGATTTCTACATCTTAGTCTCTTCTCTTAGGGAATCCTAATTAGATTTCTATTACACGTACTCAAAATATACTATAATTCATCAAAGTATAGTAATCCCGTCTGGCAACTTGCCAGTTTCATATTTTCTCCAAGTTTCATGATTCCTAGAGTACGAAAAAAGTGATATCTCGTTTCCGTCCGTCCGTCTGTCTGTTTGTCTGTTTGTCTGTGTCGATTTTTATTAGACACGTAATCTCCAAAACTACTGGACCGAGGCGATAAACTCATACAAATCAAACAAATTTCTACGTGACATTCTTCTGAGGTAACTATAAACAGTGGTGGCTCGTGAACTTTTGAAATGGGGGGAGATAATTTGATTGATGAGTTAAATATGAAGATATAAAACAGGCTGTTATTACCAATTAATAGACGAAATTGTGTGACGGAAATAAATACAAAAATACATTCAATAAAAGTAAAAAATTACTTACTACAATTTATTATTTTTTTCATCCACAAAAATTTACCATATTTGTTAGGTCTATTAAAATATCTATAAAAGTCTCTCGTTTTGCCATGAACACTTTTTTTATTAATAAATCGAGGGTGGATCTCCCTAAATTTTTCACTAAAATTTTACCATCGTAAGACAGGTGACGATTTTTTATTAAATATTCAACTGAATTCATTGTTTTTATTTAAAATCAAACAATTTCACTCGCGCAGAATGAAAATGAAAACCCGCAACTGAGTTACTGCTAGTGGTCACTGTTCGAGCAGGACCCGTTCCAGCCAAATGCAGCGACTAGGCGCATGGTTTCCATGCCAACGGTGTAAACAAAACGTCTAAATGAGTCATGATTTGGTCTCCGCTTTTATTAGCACTCGCCAGCAACATATCATATATGCCAGACACAACATCTTTAGATATAAGTTTTGATACATTTTATATAAATGGAGCGAGATAAAAAAATTGGTTTTGATAATTATAACACAAATTTTCAGATAATTTTTTAGACATTGAAAATGACTATTTTGGTATGTCCAGTGTGGTTGTAGACGTTGTAGGGACGGGGGGGGGAGGCACGTGGCCTGGTTCGTCCTGACACCAGCCGCCTCTGGGTATAAATATAAACACTCGAAGTTCAGCATGTTATTATTGCTGAGAGGCTATTTTTTTCCGTTGGTCATCTGTCTTAAATATATTTTACATTGTCCGTACTTGGAATTTGCGCTCGCACGACGCAGGGGCTGCGGGGTTGTTATTTATGCCGCTGGTTTTTGCTTTATGAAGGTTATCACAAAACAAACGTCGCAACATTTTATAATTTTATAAAGAAGCGGGATTTGGTGGATTTGTGCGTCAGGCTCGAGGGAAGTTCTGTCGAGATAACCTTCCACCAATTTTTTCTTTTATCACTGATTTACCGTTTTAGTAAAGTGTTTTGATGTGTTTAAAAAAAAAAAAATAAGAAAACAACCTTGTGGGACAAGTATTGACGTCTTTACAGTAACTGTTTGAACAATGCAGTATATTTTTTGCTTAAATAAATGCAGTTGCTGACTGTAATTATATTTTTTTATGCAAGCACAGATAAATTCGCATTGTATTTTGACAAATGGGTGTTCTCCGATATATTCGAACACAAGTCAGGTATTTATTTCTTTAATTTTGGATACATCTGACAAGTGCATTTATTTATGAATAGATTGTGAGGAATGTAGGCTACGAGATCGTGCAAAATGTAAGCTGCGAATTTAAAATTCTGAACGGTATTGAGCTACGGCCTTTGATATTGATGAAGCCAGAAGTTTACTACGTTTTCGAATAAATTATTACATCTGTAGTTCTGATTTAACTAGGACAGATAAAAATTAGGTGGGCGTGTTGTAACGTATTCGTAAAAACATCAAACTCTTAGCATGCAAAACAATTGAAAACGTCACGATGTGAATAATAAAACCACAAATAAAAACTAACAAACGGAATGCTAATATACAAAATAATCAGATCTTATCGAGTAGTTTCCTAAAATTAACTGTTATCAGAGGTCAGATTTATTCAAATGAGAGCTAATTGGGTATATAATTTATAATTATAGCCTCGTGGATGAGGTGTTATTAACTTTTGTTTTTTCTAGTTGGGTTATTCCGCTTGACGTTTATGTTTTTATTTGCAGATTTTAATTTTCGTTAGCTGCGTTCTCTACAGGTTATTTTAACTGAATTTAACTTTACTTCGTAAATTTTAGAATTCTTATTGTTTAACTTAGAAGAAGAATGACAATCTAATTACGATTGTCGGTTTATAGTAACTGCAAATTGTCACTAATTTTACTGTATGCACACTTTCTTGTATGTCAATAAAATTTTGCAACTGAAAAATAATAAAGCTTAAGTACTTAATCCATAAAACCACAGCTGTGGTCGGTGATCACCTGTCTAAAAGGGTCGTATTTTTTCTACTTCGTAATTAATTAAATTTGGCTGTAAGTGTTGGTTAAATTATTTTCTTCAACGTTACTCTGATCTTTTCGCAAATTTCAAAAAGGCATGCGTCATTTGCCGAGGATCTTTACAAGGGAGGTTGTTTGAGCATTGTTTTCCTAAACGATACTAGCAGGCGTAAGCTTCTATTTCTATTCATTACACATTAACTCTATATCTGTTATGTTTCGCGACCATTGGCAGCATCTTTTTTTGATCAGAACTTTTTTGAATCGTGGAATAGAGTCATTTATTCAGCAGTGCTTAAAATATCATCCGAGTAGGTTTGGAAGTTAATTTCCTATTGACATTGCTCCTAACAAAACAGATTTCATGTTGGAATTTGTGGTAACAAGCGTGTCAGATGGCCACGCCAACTGACGAGATATTAATAATCTCCGTAATGTTATTTTTGGCCAGAATTAAAGATTCAGGCGGTATTGAGCCGGCTTGACCCTTATGCTGATGAGGCGGCGTTATTATTTCTGCATGTACGAGAAGCATGAAAATAGAAAACGGGCATGCAACTATGTAGTATGCGTCCTAAACGACGTGTTTTAAATTTTCGTGTATAAATTGAATTTAAATTGTAGGGTATGTCTGGTAGTAAAAATTAAACGTACTTCGGAACATAAGTAATAAATAAGTGGAAGAATGCAGGTATTATTTGAAACCGTTTCCGTGTTGAAAACGTAATTGAATTTCTCATGTAACAAGAAATAAAACCGAAGCAAACTAGGTGTGCAGAT